AACTATTTTATCTGATCATGATGATACTGTTATTGCTAATGAACATTTTGGTTCCATACAACTTCATACTTATTATAATAAATTTCTAGCTTATAACCACCTTTCACTACTTTTATATTCACCAACAATTATTTTTTTTCTATGATATATTTATAGTTTTGACTATCTACCAAGCAATGTTTGTAGCTATACTTTAATCATTTCTATCAAAAATAATTATAGTGAAGCCTATATTTATCTTTTATCAAAATCTAAACCTCTGCCTAATCATTTTATTCCACTACTTCAAGCTATTTGCAATTACCCAAATATCTTACTAAAATCATATACAACAGAAGATGATCTTCTCAACTCAACAAATTATAATGCCACAATATTAATACCAAACTCACCTTCTACATCTCCAATAACATTTCAATAACCTTTATCTCTTTTTATTTTTTTATCACCACTATCTTTACCAAGACTTCATACAAACCACTCACTCGACTTTTCACTTAATTTAAACATTGCAACTTATAATATTCAAGGCTTTAATAAGCCAGAAAAAAAGCTCTTAATAGAAGAATATTGTCTTTAAAATAATCTATATATAATCAGTTTAACTGAAACCAAAATTGCAGAAACCAAAACAAAAAGTTCTACAATAATTATCAATTCTCTTATTACTGGTCAAACTGCTCTATATCTAAAGAAAGAACATGTATCATGATTAAAAATAACTTACAACTACATATTCATAACATTCTTAAGCACCCTGATAAAGCTATTGCAATAGATCTTTTCTTTAAACATGATTACAAATTTTGAATAATCTTAATATATCTATTAATAACAAACAATCTTGCTTGTCAACAAACTCAATCTGCTATTATCACATAGATACAACAAGCACTTCAGCTACAATTACACATAATTATTCTTGGTGATTTCAATTCATCAATCCAAACTACTATATCTAATGCAGCTAAATATCAACTACTAAACTATTTATACAGTATTAATATGTATAACTTGGCAAATTACATAAATAATACTGATGCTACTTGGCAAAGTAGTTGATATATTAGCAGAATTAACTACATATGGGCAAGTGAACACACAATCCCATTTCTTAACAGATTTTATATTGATGACTCATCATGAATCACTAATAGTGATCATCAAATGCTCATAGCACAATAGATATTTTCTTTTGCAATAAACAAACCTAGAAAGAAAAACAAATACAAACATAGAACTTTTAATTACAAAGTAATGACTATTGAAAAATGAAAAAATTTTTTAAATCAAATTAACTTTATATGCACCAACACAAAATTTTTACAGAAATAGATAATACAATGTCATTAGAAAAACTTTGGCACAAAATCTATACTTGCATTATCAATGCAGTCCTACAACACATACCTAACAAAAAATAAACAATTAAACATTCCTTTCACATCTTTAGTCCTAAAGCAACAGCTTTACACAAAGACCTTAAACTTATTAGAAACATTATCTATAGATTTAAAAACTTATTTAAATATAACTTTACTATCTCTACACAAACTATAATTGATATCAATACTATCAATCACAAACACAACTTTGACATCCCAAATCTACTTGAAAACTCATCACTATTACCACAATGGATTGATAATGCTAAGCAAGCATGAAAAGCTCTTTTCTATATACATAGTATAGAAAATACTCAAAATCTTAAGTAGCATATTAATACAGCTATTAATAACAGATGTGAATGACTAATAACACAACCTACCAAAATGATAAATAGTATTCTTAATAGACATACAGATCCAGTACATTTTTACAATATCAAACTGATAATAGTGTTATAACTAATCTTACAAAAATACTTCAACATGTTTAACAACACTTTCAATACTAGACCCAACACTAGCCTATTAATACTACAATATTTAATTAATATTAAACAGAAGAATATCAACTCAAACAGTCTATCAATTGCAACTGGTATGCTCTCCTACTTAAACCTATTTCTACAAAAGAAATAATGCAAACAATGCAACAATTTCCAAATAACAAAGCCTGTGAGCTACTAGATATAAGCTATGAAATGCTTAAATACTGTGGTTCATCAATGTTACAGGCTATTACCCAACTATTTAACAGATACCTCAATACTAACATGATACCTAAACAGTAAAAAAATACCAGAATATATCCTATCTCAAAAAAGCCCAACTTCGATGACAACTTTAACAACACTTGTCTCATTAGTTTAATTGAATATATCAAAAAATTATATACAAAAATCTTAACCAACTGACTATCTAGTATTCTATCTTCACATCCAATTTTTAGCCTTTACAATTACATTACACTACCTGATAATAGCACTAATACACCTCTACATATTCTAAACAACTTCATTAAAAATGCCAATAGCAATAAAAAAACAAGATGGCTACTTTCATAGGACATAAGCAAAGCATATGATTCAATTAATATCAACCTTTTAAAAAAATCATTGCATTGCATTAAACTTCCACAATCCATAATCTGCACAATAACTAATTTGCTTAAACTATACTTTAATCAAGTACAGTCACCTCTCACTATAATGAACCTTGATATACCAAACTCTGACTATACTGAATTAAAAAGTTTAGAACAAATAGCTTATATTTATTTATATTAGATATACCGAACTTTATAATAAATTTAATATACTGTATCTGAACTTAGTTGAGCCAATACATATAGTATACAAAATATATAAAAACATTTTATATAGTAAACATCATATATGACTAGATTTGATAAATCTTAATATTTATATCAATTAATGAGTATAATATTGAATGAAAAGCATTGCATTAACACACTTTCTTGAACCTAAATACTATATTACATTACATTATGTTCAGCCTTATATCTATATGCATGTGATTTCATGTACTAAAGTTTTAACAATCATAATACCAATTTAGTTAAAGCTCATTTATATAGTATTAAAAATAAAAAAGTTGTAAATTATACTGTACATTACATTCATATTAGTAACAGGTTTTTTTTAGTAATGAACAAAGTGATCACATAAAGCAACATGCATGTATCGATATATATGTTTCAATAATTGATAGCCCAAAAATTTAGTTAAAGAAAATGCCTGATTATACTTATTTAAACCTTTAATAAATTTCCAAAAAAGGTTGAAAGTTAAATTTTTGAGTTATACCTTTCTGAGAAATCAACCTTTCTATTTCAATTAACTTATATACTGCCCAACCTTTTTAGATTAAATATATGCTTTTCTGCTTAAATAATTGATATGTGACTCTAATAGAAGTGATTCTAATAATTATGATATAGTTTTTTTTAAAGTTATTATTTGCTCGACATTGTGTCTGAAGTTGTGTTTGCCCAAAATTATTAACTAATACATGTAAAAAAAATTTAATTTTAGGGGCTAATTTTAGTTTAATGTAACTTCAGGTGCAACTAAAGCACCTGAAGTTGCAACTTTAAACAGGTATTATCTTTAAGCAAGACAATGCTATATTAATTACTCAGATTGCATACCTAAATTCTACTAAAGTAAAATGAAAAAAAGTAAAGTAGTATATAAAAAAAAAGATATTAATATGTAATTCAATTTTACCTTATCAAATTTTTTTATAGTGTATTTCAGTTCTACTACTTTATCTGAACCTTTACGATTGCTATTAAAGATTATTAAAATTAAAATAAAAAAAAAAAAAAATAACTAAAAAATAAAAAAAAACAAAACAAAAAACTTTTCAAACCAATAATATAATATATAGCACAAATAGTTTTCAATTTGTGTCCTTTGCTCAAGATGCCCAAGAATTTTGTGTTTTGTAATATTGTCATAGAAGTATTGATTAAACAATATAAAAATAAAAAAGTTTTTAATCATAAGAAAAAAACTTTTGTAAACTGCTAAAAATCATTACATAGCTTTAAAAAAATTTTTTGAATACTTTTCTAATCAAAAATTATATTTGATCATGTTGGTTTGCAAACGTATTAGACCTTTGTAGAAAAAAACAAAAAAATCTACTTATTAGTAATGTTGAATTAGCAAAACAATATAGTATTGAGAAATCAACTATAACTGATATTTTAAATAAAAAGGATTGTTGGCTTACTATTTTGGATAAAGAACAGAAGAATAAGAAATTTTGAGGTCCAAAATGGCCAAAGTTAAAAAATGCACTTAGTTTTTGAGTTAATAATGCATTGATTATAAATCAAGATATTGATAGTGCAATTCTCAAATTAAAGGCAAATTTTTTTGCTAAAAAATTAAATATTAACAATTTTAACCAATCAGAAGGTTGGTTAAGTGGGTTTAAAAAATGGAATAGGCTTTGCCAATTTAAAAAACAAGGTGAAAAAGCAAGCACATCTTCTGCTAAATTAATTGCCAATAATCATATTACTTTATAGCAAATGCTCTCTACCTATGATCTTGAGGATATTTGGAATAGTGAGGAAACAGGTCTTTTTTAGAAGATGGAACTTTCAAGAACCTTGATACATTCCAAAATCTCTGGCCACAAAAAAGAAAAAGCTCGTATAACTATTTTGTGTACTGTAAATGTTGCAGGAACTGAAAAAATGAAGCTTACCTTTATTTACTAATTTAAAAAACCTTATTTTATATAAAATCTCAATTATAATAATCTTTCTATATATTATTTCTTTAATAAGAAAGCATGGATGCAAGTTGATATTTTTAATAAAATTCTTCTCAAACTAAATAATAAAATGAAACAAAGAAATTAAAATATTATTTTTTTAGTTGATAATGCATCTGTACATATCATTCTTAATGAAACTCAAGAAGAACTAAGTAATGTGCATGTTGAGTTTCTATCAAAAATACTACACTGATTCTCTAGCTCTGTGATCTTGGAATTATTCATTTATTTAAATGCTATTACAAGTGCCTTTTTGTACAAAATTGAATCGAAGCTTATGATAATTTTTAAATTAGTCATATGAAAGAGCTAGAAGAATATAATATTTACAATGCATTGCTTAATGTAGCAGAAGTATGATCAATGGTATCATCTGAAACAATTGTGAATTGCTAGAAAAAAACTGGTATTCTTCCATCTGAGATTAATGAAAATAAACAAGATGCAATTATTACTGACCAGGAGGAGTATAACTTGGAAGATGAACTTAAATCATTAATTACTCACCTGTCAATTGATGACTTTTTTAGTGCTAATAAATACATTCATATTGAAGATAATAAAATTGAAAGTAGAATCATGGATGAGAAAATTTTGAGGACAGTAACTGATGAGAATGAAGAAGAAAATAAACTTGTTAATAATGAAGTTATTGAATTAAAAAAAGTTAGCAGCAGTGAAGCAAAAAAAGCTGTGAATATGATTTTAAGGTTTTTACTTGAGTAAGAAGCAGAATTTGATGAAGTTGAAGATGAAGTAAGGATTTTAAGAAGTTTGCATAAAAGAGTTAGACTAAGTTTTATTAAGAATCTTAAGCAAGTAGAACTTGACTACTACTTTATGAACTAAAATTTTAAAATAGTTTTCTTATAAATTGTAAGCATTTGATTATGTATATGACATTAAAATTTTAAGAGATTTATTATTATACTTATAATGATAAAAAAAATAATTATCAAAAAAACTCTCCCTACTGATCATCTAAACACAAAATTGACCAAAAAAGAAAACTGATTTTACACAAAAGTGGCCTTCTAAACTACTTTGACAAGACTAAGTAAAAAGAAAGAGCATCCAAAAAAGGTATACAAAAAGGAAAGAAATAGACAAACACAAAAGATACAGTGTAAAAAAGCAAAGAAAACTAAAAATTTCTTGAAGAAAACGCTTAAAAATTTGGAAATTGTAGCATTTTGGAGAATTGGCACTAACCTGGTATCACAGATCTGTTTTGGTCACAAGGACATAAACAAACAAGCAATTCAACCACGTGTAGGACAAGCAATTCAACCATATGTAGGACAAGCAAAACAAACATATGCTTAACATAGATAGAAATATGGATATATCCAAAAGATGTAATAGCAGTCTAATAACAACATATATCAACAGAGCATACTGGGCTATCAATAGTGTACAAAATGGTATATTCATTAAACAAGTAGGTGAAACATATATATTGTCTAGCAGAGAAGATGAAATTGTTGCTATGTTGACATCAGAATTCAGAGGAAGTTACTCTATTAAGATTAACAAGAGAATTAATAGATAAAACAGAGAAAGAGCAACCAGAAAGAAAATTAAGTATAGTAGAGCAAAGCAACTATGCAATGATACTAGAACCCATTCCAGAACAAGATCAAGATAGATTTAATAAGAAATGTAACTAAACTGCAAGAATGAAAGAGCTACAAAAGATAGAACAAGACCAAACGTTAAAAAAAAAACCAAAAGAAAGAAAGCAACATAAAGCAAGGATCCAAGAAACTGACAAGATTTTGCAGAAAGAAGAAGCAGCAAAGATAAGTACTAATTACAGTAGCAAGATGAAAGTAGAACAAACCCAACGAAAGCAAGAGAATTTGCCTAGCCAAAAAAGAAATGCAGAAAAATAAAGAGAGGAGCAAGAACAAGAAGTCATTGAACTAGACTTCGAAAGGAAGATTGATATAGTAGGAGAACCTCTTTAAAAAAGCATTTGGGCCCCAAGCAAGAGAAATTGTAACTAGAACAACAGTCTACTCGTGAATATACCAGCACACAATGTGCCAGAAAAAATGAAAGAAGAATGTATGAAGTTTATTAGATAGTCTTTAAGAAATAATATATATGTCAAAGATGTAAAAGAAATCTTCAAAAGAGGAAATCTATGGGTAGAAGTTAACTTTGACTGTGAGTACAGCAGGAATAATGCTATACAAAGAATCAGCAAAAAAGAGAGTAACTGGTATAGAATAATACTAGAGGAAAAAGAAAACATTACAAAAAGATAAATACAACATGCAGGAAAAAGTCAAAAAAGAGACAGCAGCAAATCAAGAATCAAAGAAGAAAAAGTCAAAAGAAAAAGAAATAAAAGCAAGACAAATGAAAACCAACATGAAGCAAATGAAAAATCAGAGAACACAAGTTATATAACAATTTGGAACCTATCTGCAGATATAAATGAAAGAGAACTGGAATACATCTGTAGAAGATTTAGGAAGGCCCATGTAGTAAGAATTAAGAAATCCAAATATAAAGCCTTAGTTGTGATTAAGATTGAGAGAACATATGAAGACATTCTATGAGCAATACTAGTAAATAATAATAAACTGGTTTGAGTAACCAAGAGAATAGAAGACCATAAAGCTAAAGAAGACAAAGAAAATATGCAGTAAGACTAACAGAATTACCAGGTAGTGCCTCAGAAGTCTTACTACTATGAAGTCTGAGAAACAAAGATGTCAAATCAGTTTACATTTCACCAAATAGAAATGAAAACCAAAAAAGATCAGCAATAGTTATGTTTGTGACAGAAAGCAACATAAAAGCTGCCCAAACAAAGCTGATTATGTATAACAACTTTCAAGTCTACTGGGTAAATGAAGAAAAGAGAGAAACAAGAAAAAGAGAAAGTTTTGAAATAGAAAGAGGAAGAAGCTAGGACAGATATAGCCAGACCTCATATACAGAAGAGAATAGAAGTAGCAAAGAAAAACAAAGAAACATAGCCTACACAAAAAAGTACAGAAATAGAAATAGCACAAGTCAGAAGGATTTCTTGCTAAATGAAAGAAGCAGATCTCAAAGCCGAAATACAGAAAACCAAATAAAAGATACAAAGATAAAGAAAGAAGAAATAGAAGATCATGAAGAAAGACCAAGATACATAAACAAGAAGGAGAACCACATATAGAAAACTTTTTGGTACAAATTTGAAAAAGATTAGAAAGACTAGAAGAGACAAGAGAGATAGCTAGGAAGAGCCTAGCTAATCGCTCCTGAGGGCACCTTAGTTGAACTTATGAACAGGAATGAGAAAATCGAAGATTTTCTGCATGGTAAAAGAAGAATCTTTGAAGAAAAAAATAAAGAGAAATCTCATAATTCAAAAGAAATAAAGAAAAGAAAAGAGAAAGGAAAAACAGAAAATACAGAAACAAGATATAAGCAATTAAAAGAAAAATAGAAAAAAAAAAAAAAAGAGATAAAAATTACATGCTACAATATTAACAGACTCAAAACCAGAGGTTGAAAACTAGAAAACCTGCTAGGCTAGGCAGAGAAAGAAGAAATAGCATTCTTGGGAATTATAGAAACAAACATTACAGAAAAAGAAGAGAAAATCTTAGTGCATAACCTTAATACAAGATTTAAAGGCTGCTAAACAAGTGCAGTATCAGACAAGAAAAAAGAATCAGATATTGGAATTTTAATAAACAAGACATGGAAAAAACATGTCAGAGCAGTTAAAAGACCTAGTGAGTACATGATAAAAGTAAAGCTATACTTCAAACAACTAGTATTGATAATGATAAGAGTGCATATTCCACTAAATAACAAGGCAACTAGTAAGAAAATACAGTAAAAAATTGTGAAAATAGTAACAAACAAGAAGAAGCATACAGAAGTAATTATATTAGAAGATTTTAATTACACAGTTGACAACATACTAGATAGATTGCATCCACAAACAACAGAATATAAAAAACTGTTAGTTTTTAATTAACTTAAGAGACAGGATTTTACAAACTCTTTCAGAAGCTTGTATCTAACAGTGAGAGCATATACATGGTCAAACCAAGAAGCAGCAACAAGAATTGACTATATCTGGTTGTCAGAAACTATGATGGCTGGCCTTCAAGAAGCCAACATAGAAGAAGCAGAAAGAATAACAGGCAGTGACCATAGAATATTAATAACAGTCATATGGTTAGAACATATAATTGTGACCTAGAGTTGTGCAAAAATCAAATACAAGGACCAAATGAGAATAATATATCTGTATGAGAAGGCAAAGCAAGAAGATTGGAAAGAATATGCTAAAGAGCTTCAAGTACAATTAGAATGAAAAAAGATCTTGAAGCAATTAGAAGAAGACAGAGAAGTCAATATACACAATACAGATGTGTTAGACCATATGTGGGATGTAATAGAAGAAGCTATAACAGAAGCAGCAAATAAGCAAATTCTAAAAAAGAAGATATTCAACACAAAAGTAAACAGAAGACAGCATCAGAAGAAGCTACAACAGAATAGAAACATAATCGAACTTCAACAAATAATTAAAAAGGCAAAAATAAGAAAAAACCAAGAAATAGAAAAAGAAGAAAAAGAAGAGATAAACAATAAACTCAAAAATATTGGCAAGAAAATAGGGGTAGCATTACTGAAGTTATACAAACAATGATCAGAAGCATGGATAGATAATATAAAAAACTGGTAAAGAATTCTGAAAAATAAAAGAAAAGAAGAGTAGGAATGAGCTTTAAAGAAACAGATAGAAGAAAATATAAATAGAAAATATAAGATAATAAAAACTGACCAAGAATGAATGATTGCTAGCCTACTGAATAAACTATACAAAAAGATAATGTTAGACAAATTTATAACCCAAATTGAAGATGAGGTTAGTCTAACAACAGAACCCAAAGCTGTCTTAAATGGTTTGGCAAAGCATTTTGAAAATCAATTCAGAAAGTGAAAAACCAAACTAGAGGAAATGTCAGAGAAATGGATAAAGGTATACAATTCAAAAGAATGGATTAAGGAGTCTTAATATGAGAATTTAGAGGAAGAGATAGAGAAAAAAGAATGAGAAAACACACTAAGAGAACTCAAAGCCAATATAGCACTAGGAATTTCAGGCATAAGCTATATTCTAATAAAACAAGCAAAGAAGAAGTTACAGAAAATTTTCAGAGCTTTCACAAATCTAGTTCTAAAAATAGAAGAAATGCCAAAAAAGTAGAAAATAGCATAAATCTATTCAATTCTAAAAGATGTAGACTAGGAATATAATTTGAACAATATTAGACCAATAGCATTAATTGAGACTTTTAGAAAGGTAGTCACAAAAATAGTAACAAAAAGGTTGGCCAAGATATTTACAGAAAGAGAAATACTTAAAGGACCAAACTATGCAGGTTTGCCTGACAACTCAACAGAGCAACCAATATATATGCTAAACATGATAATGGAGAAAGCATAAGAGAAAAATAAGAAAATATAGATACTCCTACAAGATATGAAGAAAGCATTTGATTCTGTCCTATTGAAAAGCTTAGAATGGGCTCTTAGAAAAGTCAAGATACCACAAAGAACAACAAAATATATCATTAATCTTTTTTGCAAATGTCAACTTAAGGTGATTACAACTTACGGCCTAACAGAAAAGATAACAGCAGGAGATGGTATAAATCAAGGAAAGATAATTTCTCTACTAATCTGGTGGCTTTTC